GCCCCGCTGGGCCCCGGCCGCGCTCCTCGCCTCCAAGTTAGATCGCTCCTAGCCGCTGCCGAGCGAGCGTGTGTCACCTCTGCGCTCAAAGCACCGGGGCGCCGGGCGCGGGCACCCCTACCGGCCGGGCTGCGGGAGCTGCTGGCTCTGAAAAATGCCCACAGGTAGCTGGAGAGAGCTGTTCGCCGGGAAGGCAGCGGCATGAGCTGTTCCCTGATTTATTTTTTTAAGCCTGAAATATAGCTGTCGCAAATAAAGACTAGTGCCGGCAGCTTCTCTTGCAAGAAACCTCTTGCACACCTCTGTGAGCGAATCGCCGCTATCCCCAGTCTTTTTCTCAGGGATGCTCTTGAAATTTTAATTCTCCCAGCAAGGAGTTCTGTTTAAAAACAGAACAGGCCCCTCTCGCTCCTTTCTGGAGAGAGCTTGAACGGTGCTGGATTAACATTCAGATTTCAAGTCACAACCCTAGACTAATTCTTCGTGCACAGTTCTGCCTATTCCTGTGTCCCTTCCTCGTGAAGTCTTACATCTAGCAAGTTAAGAGGATTTGTGAAATTACTGCAAGTCCTTTGTTCTGGGAGCCTTTTCTTCCTAAGGGGAGATATCTGTCTCTGTTATTAAACTCTGTCCTTTACCCTATCTGACCACTTCCTCTCTGCAGGAAAAATCCTTCTTTTTTACTATTCTGGTACAAACAACAGTGAAGGCGACATTGGCTCAAATTGTTGTTTAGCAGCACTATTCATCAGATTAAAATTTTCCCAGAAAGAACATTTTCAGTTTGTTCTTTAAACAGCATAGCAAGAACAAACATATTTGCTGGAGTGCTGCTGCGGTTTTCCCTAGGAGTTGGGCTAGAACCTGTCCTACCATTACAGGAGAAAACGTGCAAGCCCAGATACTGTCTAAGCTGCCTATTTGACTGTTCTGGCCTCTCAGATACTACTTGGTGTTTGCAAAATGTAAAGATGGAAATGAGACTTCCTAGTTCTTTAGATACAACTATGACTTTATAGTACTTTATATAAAACAACATCCCCCAAATGTTTACCCCGCTCCCGTGGGCCCACTCGGACACTGTTCACCTGCTCCTCGAGGTGCAGGAAGGCCCTTTCTTAAGAGCATTTGATAAACGGGGCCATTTGTTTACATCTTTTCATCCCATTACTAACCCTCCAGCTTTCCAGGTGAATAAGAGATTCCTGCTTTTGGGGCTACTCATCTGGCAGGAGCCAGTGCTGCTTGCCTAGAGTCAGTGCTGCTCGCTTAGAGTCAGATTTTGTTTGGCAGATCTGAGACTGTGCTATTTCACAAAAGGAGAAAAAAAAAAAAAAACACCTTGAATGTTAATCTGCTGCAAAACAAGCCGGGTAATCCTAGGTTGTGCAGATTAAATGCTGGCCTCCTCCTGTTGCCACTGAAGTGAACAAGATTTCCCAATGAGCTTTTCGATTTAGGGGGAGCGGGGAGGAAGGACCCGCAGCCGCCACCCACGTGCCGATGCTGAGCGCTCTCGGAGCCCGGCTCAAAACAAAGCCTCAGATGGGATCCTTGGAGGCAATCGCCCCCGATTTCGTGCTGTTTAAGCAGCCTGTAGGAAGGGAGCTTTTCTCCCGGCTGCCGGTTCGAAGGGGTTTGTGAGAGCTCGGCGCAGCCGCTCCATTTCCCGGGAGCCAGCGTGCTGACCTGCTCTGCTGCTGCTCTGCCTCTGGATGGCTTCTGCAGCGGTGCCGCTGCGGGCCGCTTAGAAACGTGTCTCTGCTTCCTCTGGCCTCAAGTTTGTTTCCTGTGCCGGCGCACGCAGGGCTCAGCTAGCTGGCGATGGCCAGATGCGTTGCGTTTTTGCGGGGGCGTTGCCGAAGCGCAGCATTTGTACCACACACACCTTACTCCGGCCGATCTTCCCCTTCGGAGCCTGAATTCACGTTCGTTACTAAATATGGAATCGGTGTCTTTGACCACATTCTGACATGTGAGCTGAGGCAGTTGTATCTGCTCCAGAGGATTAAAACCGTGAGCGTCCCCGCTGCTCTCCAACCCCCCAGAGCTTGCCCTGTCCAAGCAGTTGACCGCCCGGCCCCCCTGCCGGCAGCGCAGCTCCCCCTTGCTCTCCTGCCTGTAAACGAGGACAAACCCAGCTCAGTTAAGCAGAAGGGAAGCCCGCTTGCAGAAGAAAATGCCTTCTAGAAAGTAATTCTGCGTAAAAACCAGCGAGAGGCACCCGTAAAACATGACGACCCCCCCCGGTGAGAGCAGCGGTTTGCCCTGTCATTGCTACACGCGGGAAGCTACCCGGATGCACCACGGGGCAGGCGCTGGGGCGGGCGCGAGGGAGAGGCAGGGGGGGGGGCGGCACGGC